GGAAGCTGGTGGTGGGATGGGGAGGCTGGTGATGGGCTGGGGGGCTGCTCAGAGTGGCAGTGTCTTGGTTGAGCCTGAGCTGGAGTTCCTCTGCTGGTGACTGCTGGGGTTAGGTGGGGTTTAGGGAGGGGAATGGAGTGGGGGCCCTGAGGACTGCCAGCTGTGTCCTGCCCATGTCCCATTACTACTGTGGTGCAGTCTCAGGTGGGCCTTAGCACAGGCTTTGGTGGTAGTGACACCTTGCAGAGTCCTGTCCTGTCCTCTCTCCGGGTGTCTTCATCCCAGGCCCCAACAAACAGTGCAGAGCAAACCCAGAGCTGCTTGCAAGTTTTCATGGTCCTTGTCTCGCTTGCAGCCCTCTGTGCTTGCGTATGACAAGGTGTGCTTAGGCAAGACCCAGCTTGGGACCACCAAGAGCAGCGTGTCCCAGTGCCAGGGCCTGAACAGCAGCCTTGCAGGCACTCCCTGTGCACAACCCTGGTTGCTAGTGCTAGCCCTCCCTCCTTTGCCTCCTAGGGAATGTATTGCTGGCACAGCTCTGCTCTGCTGTAGCTGCAGGTTGGCATGGGTGATGACAGGACACTGCAGCTGCTCAGTGTCCCCAGGGCAAGTGCTGCTCACATAGCTGGTGGGGGAGTTGGCCACTGTGGCTGCTGACACTTGTGCTTCCTCCTTCACTAGGCTCACCAGCAACATGTAGGCAAATGTACGGTTGGCAAACAGCTTTGTGGCCTTGTTCGTGTTGCACAGATAGCGGGGTGCAATCACATAGCACTGTTCTGGCACACCTTGTAATGAGGCCATGGGGCATGGGCAGGGCAAGCCCTGGAGGTGAGAGAGGCAGTGCAGTGGGGGGGACTTTGTTCCAGCACCCATCCCAGCTGGGCTGGGCTGCAGAAAGACAGCCCAAGGGAAGCAGAGGCAATTGTTGGAACATCCTTCCACCAGCCTGCCCCTGGTGCTCACTGGGATAAGTAGCCCCTTGCTCCATGGACCCCTGAGAACCTGGGGACTGGCAGTATTTTTCGTGGGTGCCAAAGGGTTGTGTGACATGATGACTGGGGAGGGACAGCTGCTCTGGGCCCTAGCGCTGGAGGTGATGCCTGGTGCTAGGAGCACCTCTCTGGTGTTAGGAACATGTAGGGGCCCCTGGAGACAACCCCCAGGATCCAGCACCCACTCATGGCTTTCTCCGCTTCTTGTGTCCCAGAACTGATTACAGATTTTGGACAGTCCCAGAGTCAGGATGCTACTGGGGACCAAGTCCAGGAGGTGAGTGGGCAGCCAGGGCAGGGAGCCAGCAGTCCCAGCCCACCATGGGCTAGATGATGCTGGTGAATGCTGCTTAGAGGCTGAGCCCTGGGTGCTGGGCAGCAGCAAGGGGAGATGTGCAATGCTCAAGGAGGGGATCCATCCTATCCTGTGAGGGTCTGGACAGGACCCTCAGAGCTGGGGAGCCTTCAGGAGCACCAGTGTTATGCTTCTTATTCTTCCTTTCCCAGCTGCTGCACTACGAACTGGGTTTCCTGGTCTGCATCGCCATCGGGCTCCTCTTCATCATCCTCGTGCCCCTGGTGGGATGTTGCTTCTGCTGCTGCCGCTGCTGCGGCAACTCTGGAGCGGGCGGATGAGCTGCCGGCGCGGGACGCTCTGGGCCTCAGTCCTGCTGGTCTCTGCTCTCCTGCTGTGAGTGCGCTGGCTGGGAGGCTCCGGATGGGACCCGAGGGCGGGTGGAAACACCGGCAGTTGGCGGCCGTGCCAGGAAGCTGCCATTGTTCACAGGAGCAGATCCCAGCACGGAGTGACAAAGGAGAGGAAATGTCGGTGGTGGGGAGCTGGCCCCGGGGGGCTGTGTGTTGGGATGGTGCAGACCCTTCCCGACAGTTTCACTGTGGGGAAATGTGGGCATGCTGGGCACTGGGCTCCCCTGTGCCTCAGTTTCCCATGTCCCTCCTCACTGATCTGTTGGCTTGTGTGCAGGGCACTCGCTGGGGCGCTCTGGAAGCAGGGCTCAGTGGTGTGCTCCAGACCCTGCAGGGTGGGGTCAATGCAAGTGGATTTGGAGGGTCCTGGGGGGGAGCATCAGGACTGAGCTCCCCATGTGCTGACCCTGCTGCCCTTCCCTTGTAGGGCTGGTGATGTCTGTGCCTTCATCAGCAACACCCGCTTCTCCCAGGCTGTGCATGGCACCTTCCCCAATGTCAACAACACCCTGAACAACGCCCAGACCTATGTGGCCTCCATTCCCCAGGCACGTCTGATCCTCCTGCCCTGACTGGGGTGCCTAGTGGGAGGGCAAAGAGCCCCTCTGGGGAAGGGTGACAGTGGGGCTGAAGGCGAGGAAGGGTTTCTGCTCACACTAACACCCCATCTCTGTCCCTGCAGCAAATCAATTTTATCATCGACAGCAGCGACGTCCCACTGGGTCACGCCAACAGCAGCCTCCAGGGTGAGGGTGTGCAGCAGAGCAGGGCTGGAGCATCTCCATGCACCCGTGGCAAGCTGCTCTGGCAGGGCTGGGGGTGCTTGGGGAGTGGGAGTGGCTGGGGGTGCTGCGTTGGTTTGTCTTGCTGCTCTGCAGATAGTTGCTGACCCTGGAGGCCACTAGGCAGGGTCTCATAGGGATGTCTAAACAGGGGCTTCTCCAAAATCTCTGTGCTCTGCATCAGCTGTTGCTTTTCCCCATCCAGGCTCCTCTCTGGGGAGGGTGAGGCAGGTGGTGGCAGGGTGGGGGTGTTTACTCTGCCCACTGCCTGGGGGGTGGGTGTGGGATGGGGTCCTGGTGCGGTGTCAGTGCTTTCAAGCAGCTCCCCTGCAAGCCCCAGGATACCAAGAGTCCTGTCATTGACACCATCTCTCCCATCTCTGCAGACATTGGGTCCAATCTGGGTGGCATGATCATCTCGGGTATCAGGAGCAGCACAGATGGGACTCTGGGATCCCTCCAGAGCCTCTTGCAAGGTAGTGGCCCTATCCCTGGGGGGCTGTCAGGGCCTCAAAGGGGATTCAGGGGAATGTGGGGGCTGAGAACTGGAGTAAGTGCATAGAATCATAGAACCATTCAGGTTGGAAAAGACCCTTGGGATCACCAAGTCCAACCATCATCCCTACTCTACAAAGTTCTCCCCTAAACCATATCCACCAACACCACATCCAAACGACCCTTCAACACCTCCAGGGTTGGTGAATCTACCACCTCCCTGGGCAGCCTATTCCAGTGTCTGATCATTCTGTGAAAAAAATTTTCCTAATGTCCAGTCTAAACCCACCCTGTTGCAGCTTGAAGCCTAATTACCTGTTGCTAATTACCTGTGAAAAGAGACCAACACCAACCTCTCTACAATGACCTTTCAGGTAGTTGTAGAGACTGATGAGGTCTCCCCTCAGCCTCCTCTTCCTCAGACTAAACATTCCCAGCTCCTTCAAGTGTTCTTCATAAGAATTATTCTCTTGGCCCTTCACCAGCTTCATTGTCCTCCTCTGTACTCACTCCAGCATCTCAATATCTCAACATGTTTGGGTAGGGCTCCAAGGGAGGGGTCCATCTGGATTGCCACAGCTTGGGGCAAATGCTGGGACTTTGTGGGGTTGCCCCTATGTTGCATTTTTTTGATGAGTCTCTGAGGTTCAGCTGGGTGAGAACAAGCCCCACTGCACTAGCAGGATGAGGCCCTGAGCCCCCCACTGTCTCCCTAGGGATGGAGATGCTGGCAGATGCCTTTGGCATCATCTCCAGGACTCGTCCACACCTTGAGGAGCTGCAGAGCAACTACAGCCAGCGGCTGGACAGCCTGCAGGGTGACCTCAACCGGACCCTGCAGCACTGCGGCAGCCCCTGCAGCAGCGTGTCCCTGGGTGGCCTTGTCTTCAGCACCAACTTCAGCATGGTCAGGAGGCGAGGGACCCCACAGCCCCTTCCCCAGCCCCCTGCAGTCCACTCACCCAGGCTCTTCCCCACAGATCCCTGGTGTGAAGCGGCAGCTGGAGGCCCTGCATGGTGTGTCTGGCTCCAACATAGCAGCCGATTTGGAGAAGGTGAGGGGTTCCCCTTGCACACAGGGCTGGGTGCTGCTGGGGCTGTGCTGTGAGGGGTGGGCTTGGGAAGAACTCTGATGGGAGCTAATTGCTGTCGTACGGAGGAATGTGCTGCTTGGAGGTCTGCCTTGGCCAGAGGTTGCCCTCTGTCCCACCCCTGGGTGCTGGCACAGTCACAGCTGGGTGCTGGAGGGAGCCTGGCTGTCCTGTGCCACTGGGATCTGGGGACAGAGGGGGTGTGTTGCTCAGCCCTGGGCTGTGAGCTGGGACATGAGCTGACACTGTGCCCCTCTTGATACAGGTTAACAGCACTCTAAGCACAACCTATGCCAAGGTGCAAGAGCAGTCCCGGGATGTGGTGACAAGTAAGCAGGGTTTCGTGGCCAAATTCTCTCTCTCCCAGAGCTCCATTCTCCCTTCTCATCCCATCCCTGCCTGGAGACCTCCTGTGCTTCCACCCCACTGCCTGCAGTCCTGGCTGTCCCCATGTGCCTATGTGCTATCATGCTGATGCCATCCTTGACCAAAGCCACCCCCTTCCTATCCTCTCTGGGTTCCTTGCTACCCCAGGCTTGTCTGCCCCAGACAAACAGGACTTGGGCAGCAGTTCACAGCACCCACCTGTCCCTGTCCCCTGCAGAGACCCAGGACCAGCTGGGCTTCATCAGGCAGGAGATCAGGAGCTTGCAGGAGAAGTTGCCACTCCTGGATGTGGAGGAGAATGTTGGAGCCTTTGTGGGCAACACCTCGTTGATGCTGGAGGAGTACAGGGAGCCAATCATTGCCTTGGATGGGCTCAGGTAGGTGAGGGGCTGCTGCTTGCCTTGGCTTCCTTGTCCAGAGAGGCTCAGCTTCTCAATCCTCTAGTTGCTGGAACTGGGGGCTTGCTCACTGGTAGGGCTGTGGGTGCAAGGCAGCCAGAGCTGTGCTTCACAGCCATCCATGCCCCTTCTCTGCCAGGGTGCCTGGGAGATTTTTCCTCCCTGAGAAAGGCAGCTGATGGAATACCAGGCACTGCCTGGGGTGCCAGGTCCTGCTGCCTGACTTCTGCCCCTCCTCTTACCCAGGTGGAGTGTGTGTGTCCTCCTGTGCTGCATGGTGCTGCTGGTGGTCCTCTGCAATGCCTTCGGGCTGCTGCTGGGGCCCCTGGGGCTGAAGGAACATGTGCTGCCCACGCAGCGCAGCAGCCTCTCCAACGCCGGCGGGAACTTCTTCATGGCGTGAGGCTCCCTTGGCTGCTGAGGATGCATGTGGGAGTGGTGGGATGGGTGGGCAGGGCTGGCCTGGGGATTCTCAAGCTTCTTGTCATGGTAAAAGTGGCTTCATCCTGGCTCAAACGAGGACACTCCTGAAAAACCAAATTTCTGTGGCTTAATGGTCTGCCCCGTGGCAACTCACCATACAGGTGGTAAACACAAGGGTACTGGCAAGGTGCTGGTGAGAGGTGTTTGAGCAGAGCCTGTTCAGCCCTTGCTGTCAGGGGCCTGGACAGTGTGTGCGTGGTCCCATAGCTCTGCGGGTGGGTGGTGGCTTGCAAGGCTGGAGGAAGGTGTTCCAGGGTATGAGCCCAAGGGTACAGCCTGGCTGTGCTCGAGGAAGGGAGTGAAGGCAGAGTGAAGATGTGCTTGTGGGAGTGGCATTGCTGAATGGGGCATGGGATGTGCAGGCTCTGGGCACTGTGAGCTGGAGTCAATAGTAGCATCAATACTGGGGCATGGGGCCTCATGCACCAACTGTGTCTCTGTCCTGACAGAGGGGTTGGCTTCAGCTTCATCTTCTCCTGGCTGCTGATGCTACTGGTGCTGATCACCTTCGTGCTGGGGGGAAATATCTACATGGTCATCTGTGAGACCTGGCGCAGCCAGAAGCTCTTCCAGGTGAGCTCCCCGTGGGGAGATATCCCTGCTCAGAGCCATTGCCACCTTTCCAAGGGCTATTGCTGGAGTGGAGGCAGCACTGGCCAGTGTAGGATGCTCTTCCTAGGTGTCCTGCACTGTGCTGTGTTTAGTTTTTCCATCTCTTCCCTTGTTCTCAGATTCTAGACACCCCAGGCCTGATCCCTGGCTTCAACCTGTCAGAGCTGCTGGGCCAGGAGAGTGGCACAACAAACTTCTCAGAGATATACAGGTGAGTCCCAGCTCTAGCACTATATCTTTGGGGAGCGGTACAGCTGCTCAGTGCCCTTCGATGATCCCTGGGATGGGAGCAGCTTGCCCTACCTGCCCTGGCTGCAGGCAGGCACTGATGCCAGGGAAGGAGTGAGGTGCAAATTGCCCATGTGAGTGAGGACATGCTCCTGGGAGGGCATGTCCCTTGCCTGCCCCATTTTCAGCCCGATGTTCTGCTTCTGCAGGCAGTGCCAGCAAGATGCTACCCTGTGGCAAACTCTGCACCTGGACCAGAGTGTGTCCCTGGATGAGCTCCTGAACATCAGCCAGGTAAGCAGGGAGGTGCCAGGATCTGTGGGGCAGAGCTGGGGCACAGGATTGGTGCTGGGGAGACAGTGAGGGGCCAGCACCATGCCCCATCAAGGCTCTGCTTGCTCTGGCAGTATACAGGAGAGATCTCCACAGCCTTTGAGAAGATGAACATCACCCTGAGCCCCATCTCCCTGCTCAACGAAACACAGAGAGACTTGCTGCTGAAAGCCAGCCAGCTTGGGCAACCCCCTGACTTCACCCCCACTCTGGAGGAGGTGGGCTGGGTGGCAGCTTGGTGTTGGAATGGGGGTGTCTGGATGTGTGCAGAGGGGATCCACTGCCCCCTCCCCTTTACTGCTGTGGGAGTCCCACTGGACACTCCATGAGTGTTCCTTGCTATCCATGTCACCCCTTTAGGCAACTAGGAACCTCTTCCACCTGGGAGGCCCTGGCTCTACTCTGCCCCTCAGGGATGGGGTATGGCCCTCTTGTTAACCCTGTGTCCCCAGTCTCAGGGCTCTGTCTCTGCCTTTTCCAGCTGGATCAGAATCTGACCCAGGGAAGCCTCCTTGATCTGGCTGCAGAGCTGGAGCAGCTGGCAGACAAAGTGGTGAGAGACCATGTCCCCCTCTGGGCCATGGCCACCGTGTCCCCCAAAGCCACTGGCTGCGGGAGCTCCTCCACAGACCTGCCTGGGTGCTGAGGGGAGACAAGGCCCTTCACTCTGTCTCAGCTCTTCTTTCAGTCCACATCCCCATCAGATGTGGTGGGGCAGGGACCCTGTGCTTTGGGGCACCACTGACTGCAGCCCTTGCAGGGCACGGACGTGAAAGAAGACCTGAAGCGTTGTGCTCACATGCTGAGGGAACTGGACAGGGAGATGCAGATGAGCTTCTCTGGGCCACTGGTGAGTGATGCTGGGGTGGGGAAGATCCTGGAGGTGCTGGCTTTGGCACCCCCAGAGCTTGGAACATGTTAGTGGAGTCTTGGCTGAGCAGTGAGGTCTGTGCCTTTGACTCCCTTCTCTCCATCCCCAGCAAAGCCTGAAGGAGAACATCCACTCAGTGCAGAGCAGGGCTGCCCAGCTTGAGGTAAGCATCACAAGGGAGCCTCCTGAGTGCACCCCTTTCCAGGACACTCTGCAAAGCACCTGTGAAGTCCTGCAGTGGAGATGGTGGGGGATAACCTGCAGTCTGGGGAGCTGGTGGCTGCTGTGGGACTCCCCAGTCATGCGCTGCAGGGGCTGCTCGTGGGGCAGAGCAAGGGGGCCCATGCCATGGACCCTGCCAGGCTCAGACTCCTTCTGCCTGAGGTACTCGGGCACTACTAATATCTGACTGCTGGGGACACCACAGGTCAGAGATGCTGCTCCCTGGGACAGGGTTGGGGAAATGTGGGGACCCCCACTTCCCCCATCACACTGCTGAGAGCACTTCTCATCCCAGGCACAGACAAAAACCGCACTGGACAAAGCCAACGAAACCGAGCAGTTCCTGGAGAGGGAGATGGGAAACATCATCAAGAATGTGAGCTTGCCTTGCTCTGCTGCTGGGCCACCTGGTGGGGATGTGACTGGACTCCCACACCAAGACTTCCCTCTGCGCAGGGATGCCAAGCAGTGTCTGGCTGCTTGTCATGCCTTGTCATCTTCCCTGGGTGTCCTCTCCCCTTATGACACTACAGGCAAGGGGTTGGGATGGCTGGGGACTAGCAGCTCTATTGCTGCTGGGTTGAGGTGGTCTGACAGCCCTGATCTTGACATGGAGCAGACACAAGGCATGGGGAGGGCTGGGAGTGCAGCAACTCCACTCTGCTTTTTCTCCCCAGGAGACATGGACCTTCCTGAAGGAGCTGCTAGACTTCTTTGAGACCTACATCTCCTGGGCCAAGAGCGGGGTGAGTTGAGCCTCTTTGGTGGGGTGGAGGGAAGGCAAGGACAGGCTGCAGGGTTCTGGGGACATGGACATGTCCTGCTTCCCACTGTGTTTCCAGCTGACGGAAGACGTGGCACGTTGCAAGCCCATAGCTCAGACCCTGGATAATGTGGAGGCCATCACCTGTGACTACATCCTGGACTCTCTGGTGAGTGGGGCAGTGGTGTGAGAGATGACACATGTGGTGGCAATGTGGTCCCCTTGTTCCCCTCATGCACCAGATAAGGGGTATCCATCTCTGTCCATCTCCCCGGTGGATTGGTGTGGCTAAGAACAAAGGCCAGGCTGTGAGAAGAGCTGGATGAGGGCATCACAGGGGGAGTCTGGTGGAGAAGGGGCTCTCCCAGTCACTTTCTGGGCCCTGATGGCTTTCCCCACACACCCAGAATGCCTTCTGGTTCAGCCTGGGCTGGTGTACCATGTTCCTGCTGCCCAGCATCATCCTGGCTGTCAGACTCGCCAAGTTTTACCGCCGCATGGACATTGCTGATGTCTACAGGTGAGAAGCCACTGCTCACCTACGACCACACTATGTCTGGGGTCCTCACCATGCACTGCAAACCACCCCTTCATCTGCTCCGTGGGGCTGATCCTAAAGCAATATGGGCTTGGGGGGACCAGGGAGGTGGCTTAGGACTTTCAGCCTTTGAGGATGGAGATGTTTTGGAGAAGAGCATGGCTCTGTCAGCTCTGCAACTCCTCCTTGTACAGCTGCAGGTGCATGTGACCCCCCCTTAAGAGAAAGGAGCCTGGCTTGCATAGCAGGGCTGCAGCCCACAGCCTGGCCTGGGGGTTCACCACTGGTCTTGCTCTGCTTTGTACTATTTTTTTGTGCTGGGGCCCCCGAACAGGAGCACAGCTGGATGTGATGCAGAACAGGGTGTGGTTGGCATCATTGCCACGAGGGTGCAGTGCTCACTCACACACCCATGGATGCCAGCACCCCAGGGCTGTCCCCCATCCCTCCGGGGCCCTCTGACCGGCAGCACCACCATCAGCGCAGCTGCCAACCCCTGTGGATAGTGAGTGGTTTCCAGTTGGGTTTCCAGCTGCTGAGGGCCCCCTGACCCCCACCCCTCTGCTCTGGGGCCCCTGGGAAACTAGGGTTTGCAGCCCAGTGTGGCCCAGCCAGCCTTCCCTGCTTGCCCCACTCCCCCTCACTCCATGCCCTGTCTTCCCAGACCTGTGCTGGAGTTGTACGTGGTGTGTGTGGGATGTGGCACTGAGCTGGGCTGTGCCCTGTCCGTGGTGTGCCCAGGGTCCCCGGTGGTGGCCCTGGCACCTTTCACTTCCCCCTGCAGCTGGTGGCTGAGCTGGGGACATGGGTTAAGCTGCCAGGGAAACTCGGGGGAACTGAAATCATGGGACAGAGGAGCTGTGTGCTCCTGAGCTGCTCTTCCTGCCCAGGGAATGAGCAGTGATGCTCTGGGGGCAGCAAGGTTTTGGAGAGTTGTAGGAACCCATGCGCTGTGTCCAGATCAGGCAGCTGGGATGGAGGGGACCATAGCACCCTACAGTCCTTGTGTCCTCCCTGTGTGCCTTGGGGGAGACCTTGTCCCACCTGGAGATGCTGTACTGTCCCAGGAGGCATCTTCCTGCCCCACTGACACTATCCCCTCTTTATTCCCTCCAGGAATGAAGACTTTGAGATGTAAGTAGCAGTGCAAGGTCCCAGTACGGGATGGGGGGCAACTCCTGTGGCATGAGAGGGGATAGGGCCCAGATGGAGGGGGGTGAAGTGGAACAGGGCAAGTACAGGCTAAGGAGGGGGCTGGCTCCAGGGGTGGACTGAGAAGGTGGGAGCTGTGCAGCATAGACTATTTTGAGGTTCCTCCATCATCTTCTCACACTTATAAGTTTGTGGGTACTGCTGCTCCTAGCCTCCCTGAAGCTGGCGGGGTGGGGTCTCTGTACCTCCTTTCCTGTAAGGCTGGATGACAGGGGTGGGATATTTGGCCATCCCAGCACATCCTGAGCTGTCCCTTCCTTCCATCTGTGGCTGGGGGTGACACAGGTGACCCTGGTTTTGCAGGCCACCCACGTTCAACTTCTACAAACTCCCCCGGCCATCCACGAAGCATTAGTCCCCCCTGCCCACAGCATGGGTACAGAGGAGATGGAGAGGGCTGCTCTACCTGTTGTGTCTTCTACCTGGGCCCTGAGGAGCTGGTTGGGACCCCTCCAGCTGAAGCCCCCTCCCCGATTCCCATCATGTGATGATGCCCCAGTATGTATGGGAGGGGGACTGCCCCTTGCACTGCCCCAGGTGGGACTTCAACCCCTCACGCGAGACCCCATGGGGTCAGGGCAGCTTGTACCATCCACAGCACTGCAGCCTGTGCTGCTGCTAAGTGGGAACCTGCTGAGCCAGGTCCCTTGCTTGAAAAATGTGACTCTTGTTTTTACAGGGAGCCTGACTCTTTCCAAGGCTGATTTTTGCTGTCAAACAATAAATGGGGTGTTTGTGTGCACTGCAGGCATGTGGCTGTGCTCTTCATGTCCGGCTGCAATGGAAGGACGCAGGCATAGAGGCAGGGAGGGTTCCCCACTGCTGGCATGAGCTGGTGCTGTGTCTGGGGCTAGAGTGCCCTGGCTGGGGTCCTCGAGCATGCTCTGCCCACAGCCAGCTCCTGGATTCCTGGTCCAGCACCTGGGTTGATGCAGGACCACTGCTCAGTATTGCCAGGGCTGGGTGATATTCCCCTCACTGGGCAGCCCTTTGCACCTGTGGTTGGGTGGGTGCCAGGCCCTTCCCTGGGAAAAGCTGAACCAAGGGCTCCTGTCCATGAGGTGCCACCCCATACTGTCCCCAGCACACAGGTACTTCCCTGTGCCCTCCAGCAACTCTGCTGTCATCTGTGGGTTTCCAGTTAGTTTATGGGATGCCTGCAGCTTGCACCTCCCCCCCTCTACTGTGTATGGTGGCATGGGGACTTTCAGTGTCCACCCTTACATATCCCCACGCTGCTGCAGGGCATAGATGGGCATGGCCAGAGCTGCATGAACAGATAAGCCAAAGGCAACTTGCTCAGCACCTGTGATAAGGCAAGTGTAGATACTGCTTTGTGCTGCTCCTTGGTGCATGCACAGGGACCATCCTGGAAGCTGGGTCAGGCATGGGGGACATACGTGAGCAGCTTGAATCATCATTTCCTTTGTTGCAAAGTCCAAGTCTTTCTGGAATGAGCAACATGGCAGAGCTGGCCAGCTTGTCCTCCAGGATGTCCATCTGCTTTATTGCTTTTTCCATTTGCCTTCAGATCTTCTAATAACTATTTTTTCCTTCAGGCATTATCTGAAGCTGCACTGGGCTTACCTCCTGCTATCTCCCTCCAGCACCCATCCTGACCACAGAGAGCCCCGTGCTTGCCTATCACCCAGCTGAATCTGTCCCGCATGCTAGCTCAGTCCCTGCTTCCCTCTGGGCTGCCCACCCTTTCTGGCCCTTGAAGCAGGATTTCCTGGCACCCCCTTGGAGGGCATTTAGCTCAGTTTTGTCTCCACTTGCTCTTTCTTTGCTCTCTCCCACCCTAAACCCTCAGCCTCCCAAGTTGTGACTGTTTCGTTTCTCTAGAGGCTGCATGTGGAGGTTTCTATCCCTGAGCCCCAGGCTGTCCCCACTGCACAGTGTTCCCCACTTCCTCTTCCCTTGCTGTGCCTTGAGGACACTAGCCCGTGCAGGACCACTGCTGGCTTCAGTCTGTGCTCACTGGCTTTGCAGGCACTGCTCCCTCCCTGCTCAGCCTCCCGCTGCAGACTTCTCTGTTTGTGCTGGAAGGCAGGGAGCTTGACCCTCCTTGTTCACTGCATCACCATGGCTACTTGCACCCAAACCAAACCCTGGCAATGAACATCTCCCCCCAAATTACCACACAGCCTTTGCCAAGGTGTGGGGTTTGCTCTCAGGAGGTCCCCATTCAGCACTGCCCAGGCAGCATCACAGGCCCTGGAGCCATGGCTCTGAGAGGAGCCTGGGAACATTCTCCTCCTGAGCAGAACTGGAAGGTGGGCAAGAGCAGCAGGCACAGCCAGCAGCTGTTTGGGGAAGAGGCAAAGATGGTTCAGTACAAAATGCCCACAGCTGTTGCCACCATCTCTCCTTTCAGTCAGGCTCCCTCTGCTTGCATGAGTGACAGCTGCCAGAATCCACTTCCCTTGTGTGGGAAGGAAAGTCGCAGCACCCCATGGCCGCAGCACAAGAGCCACCACAAGATAAGCAAGGTCTCATCAATAGCCAGCCAACCTCTGGAGAACCGTTGCAGCAGTTCCTCTTCCCCTTTGCCAGACTTTTTTCTACCACAGGGACTTTCTGCAGCTGAGCCCTTGTCTGAGGGAGTCCCTGTGCATCTTTAAAGTATTTTGAGAGGATGCCTCCAACAGCACTCTCCCACTGTGTGCCTGGGGCAGCAGGCTCCCACTGTGGCCAGCCTGGTGTTCCTTTTTGCCAGTTTTCCAACCAGGAGGAATGAGATGAGTTGGAGGTCTTGAGGAAAAAAATTCTCCTTTTCTCAATCCTATATTGGGGCTGCCCACAATTCCCCCAGCAAGAAGCTCCAATGGCCTGTGGGGGTTGCATGTGGCTCCAAAGAGCTGCAGAGAGGACAAGAGAGAAGCCCAGGTAGGTCTCCTTGCTCCCAGCAAAGTATAGGCTTACCTTTGCCAAAACCATGCACTGATTGGGATGGTCACCAGCCTGTCAGTGCAGAGTCCTGCCTCCATGGCTTTGTGGTGGTAAAGGGACACATTGTGGAGGGAATGGGCAGGTTGGGCACAGCTGGATCTCCGAGCCCAGCACCTACCAGCCATGAGCCATGCTGGGAAGTACAAGGGTGAGTTGAGCTTGGCTACTTTGCAAGCAAAATGAAACTGCCCTCCTCCTGAGGGTGTACGTCCTCATAACATTCACCACTGCCCCAGCACTGCTTTAGGAACCTTTATTTTTAAAACTTCTGTCTTCCACACTTAACCCCACACTCAAGAGGACTAACGGAGGTGAATCTCCCCCAGTCCATCCCATCCCAGGCAGGCTCTGCCAGCCCAGCAAGGCAAGAGACAGCTTCTTCACACCACAGACTGGATGCAGGAGCAAAGCCATAGCCAGGGTCTCTCTCCTGGAGGAGGGGGCCAAGCAGTGAGCATGGGAGAGAAGCTGGAACCTGGATCTTCCTGCACGACTGCTCTCAAGTTACACTGACTTTGCAAACAGAGGCACAATATGAGCCAGACAACCCTGACAAAGCCCCTTTGTGTGCAAAGGGCAAAGGTAGGGGAGAAGAGAACAGAGGGCCCGGGTGTCCTGCAGCTTAATCTAAGCTTCCACAAAGGAAAAAGAGGCAGGGCCAGCCCCAAGCTCACACAGGCTGCTGCCAGCTTCTCAGCTCGGAAGAGAGCATGGGTACCGTCTGGGATAGAGAGATAAGGGAATTAGGCTGCTCTCTTCAGCTAAGTAGCTGCAATCAGTCACAGCCACAGGATTGATCCCAGAGGAATTGCAGCGAGACAGTGCACAGAGTGTTGCAGCTGCCAGCGCGTGTGCTGGGACCCCCAGTGCCACAGAGCTGTGCCACACCGGCATTTAGCATCTGAGCAGCAGGACTCTGACCACACTGCAAGAAACGTGCCCAGTTTCTCACAGGTAGACCTTGGAGGCACCACCCAACCCACTGAGCAGAGAATGGGGAAGGAGAGACTTTGTGTATCCCTGCCCACCACTCTACCACCACCCCTAGAGGACTGGGGAAGTAGAAGTGAAGTTATAAAGGAGCCAAGCAAACCAATACCAAAGTGCTTTGAGCAGGGAGCAGTTCTGTAGTCCCATAGTGCAGCCAGTGCTTTCTCTGCAAACACACCCAGTGTTTGCTCCTCCACTGGAGCACATGCAATTGCACTTGCTAGAAATAGCCAGAAATCCTGCCCTGGCTTCAGATAAGATCACCCAACCCCAGCCACCTAACAGACCATTTTGAGATGCTGCTGCAGGGAGGCTTCAGCAAGAAGCAGGCTTCCTTATTGCCAGGCAGGGCAGAATTTCCTGGGGTGGGTGTGGCTTTCCCCTTCTCATGCACCCAAGGCTTGGGATTCTGTTGTGCTTCCCTCCTTCACACAGAGTCACCCTGTACCAGCGCTGAGAGGGAGGAAGTCCTTGCCCTGGGTGACTGAGGGGCATCACTGGCTGCTGCTTTTAAAGAGATCTTATGCTCTCGGGGTGGGGTGGGAGGGGGGAAGGTGGGGCTCTGCAAGGCATCTGAGTACATCTCGTTCTGGACACAGGGACACTGCACAACCCTTTGAAGCAGTGGCTTAAGCAAGCCTATAGTCAACTGGTTCCCCTCACTGGAGAAGGGTACTGGGTCCTTTTGAGGGTGAGGGAGGTGCTGCAGGACCATGGTGAGGATGTCTGAGGTGGTGAGCTCAGGAGGGCACAATGGCCACAGCATGTCCAGGTAAGGGTCCAGCTCCCGGTGCTGGGCAAACTCTGCCAGCAGCGTGGTGAATATCTCTTTGTTAAGCAAAGGGCTGAGCTTGGAGAACTTCCCTGCCACCTCCACCACCCGCTGCCACCGCTTCAGGCGGATGAGAAGGTTCACAGCTTGCAGCACAGCCTTAGGCCTCTTGCTGCAAAGCAGCAGTTCGAGCTCCATCTCATCATCTGCCTCGCTGTGCTTGTTCTTCCTGGCCAGTACCCCCAGGGCTCTCTTGTACAGTGGCACCTGGCCCTCTGGGCCCTCCTTGCTGCTGAATGCCCAAGAGACACTAACGTACTGCTGGGTCAGCTCCACAAAACTGGGCAGCCACTTGGGTTTGAATCTCAGGAAGGAGGCACAGATGAGCTCAAAGAGTGGGACCAGGCCATTCTGACCCACCTCTTCCTGCTGCGGCCCGCCCAGGACCTTCTTCCATACCTCTGGGGTGGCCCTGGCTACCAAGAGGCCGTCCCCATTCTGCTGCAGCTGCAGGCAGCTCCTTGTGGCCTTCCAGGCAGCCTTGGGGAAGGAGGCAAAGATGGAGTTCAGGTAGGCCAAGTTGTCTTTGTCCATGTCAGAGTGCAAAATGCGGCTGACCTCCTTCTCCACCAGTTCCTCAC